GATCGAAAAGTTATTTGCGGAAATCGGAAGTCGATACCATGTAGTAATAGCCTTACATCTTTATAGCCGAGTTCAAGAGCAAAAAAAATTTGCATGTGGGCGGGGCGACCCTGACAGACCATACCGACCAGCCATGAAAGGAGCCAGACCTTCGTAGAATGACTGTCTTTGGCTCGCTGGTCGTCCACCCCAGATGGTCCCCGAAGATGACGGCTCAACTGGCGACTAGTGGGAACTATGTACTCTGGGAGAGCGAACGTTTGAAGCTCTCACTATTCGGCTTTGAAAAGCAAGAGTAGAGGTGCTGCTATTTGTGAACCATCTCGTTTTATAAACAAAAAAGACGAGTACATACTGTGGCCTTTTTTCTCAGAAAAAAGTCCTTTTAAAATGTTCCAGCGACTGCACAGGCAGCGTCAGACGATTTTTCGTCAAATGAACTTACTTTTCTTTTGCTTTAGTTGTAATTGCAACTTGATCGGTCATGTTTCCATATCCGAGCTTCTTCAAATGTGCAAGGAAGTCGCTTCGAAATGGACTGTTTGCTGGTGGCATCTTTTTGCCACGAAACTCCCATACTCGTTTGAGCCGTGCTTCACTGCGTAGCACACAATAACCCATTTTCTATAAAGAAAAAGTTGCCTTTAATCTCTGATAAATTCTACTGTGAATCTGTTCAACAAAATTCTACCAAAAGCGGTGTTATTAGTAAGCGTACGGGCGCTGACACACAGGAGGACACTTGAGAGTTGTCTCAAATGTCAGTCAGAAAGCCAATAACAAGAGCGCAACAGTCTAAGCGTCCCCGCCCATTCACTTATCCTGAACCCCGTTTTTCGATAAAATTTTCGACAATCGGACTTACCACTTGACAAACACAGGGCACGGAGTCATTTCCGGTACTATTAGGCACATTACAATATCCAATATCGTTGCATTCCGGACAAATTGTCTCGACCCATGTGCTGAATGAATGTTATGAAGGAAGCTATCGGAAGCAATCATATGAAAGGAGAAAGAGGTAGTTCTGTTAGAGTTACAGTACACAGTACACGCAGTAACCGGACGTATCGACCCGTTTTGCTCTCGTGTCCTACATGTTATGCTGTGGCCATACAGCAGCAAAGCAGGTCATTTTGCAGATGTGGGTTCACTATTTATGTATTGCTTCGAGTCGTTCTGCAAGTCTCAGGTTCGGTAACATCATATTAAAAGGGGGAGGGAAGGGTTATTACGGCTTTGACTGATACGCTTCGAGAGACTGAATCCAGGCTTTGTGTTGGCATATTGCCAACGTCTCACATCCCTTGGCCACGTGCTGTCTGCAAGAAGGATCAATATCGATGATTTAACCGTGGCATGACGTTGGGGGCATGGGGGCAGGGGCATGTCTAACGGACATCAGACTTGCAAGATAAGTGTAGAACAAGGAAATTCATCTCTAATAGCTCAACAAAAACAGTAGACGTTACGGATGATGCTCACTAAGGATCACCTCTGACAGTGAGCTCATTCCTATTCCTACAATCACTGGAAGTTATCATAGAAAATTGGACCACTGAAGACCATTGTGATGGTCTTCAGTGGAAGATCACTGTGATGGCGGAATGTGTAGAAACAATCTAGGACGAGCTGGAAATATGACGGGTGCTCCTGAAGAATGGGCCCCAGCTGATTCTGGAAAGAGCAACATTCCCCAGCTCTGAGGAGTGAGCAGGGATAATGGCATACCTCTTGTGGAAGCCACTGAAAAAATACAGGATGTTAACGCTCAGAAAGCGACTTAGCCGATGAAGGCAGTGTAGACCAGGCTATGAAGGTGGGAAAGTTCGAATGAACACAGCATGGATGAGATGGAGGGAATCCTGCGGTATCCTTGCAACCAGCGGTGGGCTAGGAGGCTTATGAGAAAAGCACACATAGCAGTGATGAAGCTCAAGACGATCCACAGCACCGAGTGGAGGCCCGTTGGCAAGAATCATGAAAGACGACTTCACTCTGCTAAAATGGGGGAACTCAAATGGGCCTGCTTTTGAACGCGAC